AGGCAGTAATTATGTCGGCGGGAGAGCTTCTCCCACCAACATAGTGCTGTCCACACCGGTGCTTGGGTCGGTGTAACTTATGTCGCTCAGGAGGGTGGCTTATTCACACCCCTAAGTGATGTAAGTTATACCAAAGTAAGTTGTAGTGTAGACCTGGCCTAAGTGAGTGTGTAGTTCTTTTAAACTTACCCCAGTGGTGGCAGCCTAACTCCTAGACTCCTATATCTTACGGTTAGCTACCACTGTGAGACACACGGAGGATCATTTAGTATTTGCTAGCTTATTGAACTGAACTGTCTTTGCTGTTGTTCATTTATTTTATTGATTTTTAGTGCAGCTCTTGCTGTAGCAGCCAGCCATTTATTTACACAGAAGGATAAAACTACCCACAATGCACAGTGATTAAAAAGCCACTATCCTTTTGTCAGGAATAAAATCAAACAGAAGATAAGAGTCAGACAAAAGTTAAACCAAATATATAATGTTCTGCAGCTCACTGGACCTGGGATCTGGCAGGGTGCCAGAGGAGTGAATTTTAAAGATTGAAAAGAGCCTCATAAGAGAAAGGTCTGACACTAGACATGAAGAGGTTCTTTTCCCTTTGCCCTTCATCTTGTGTAGTCATTTGCACTTGCTTTGCATTAGTGTAAATGATGGTACAAGCTGCAGAAGAACAGGGAATCAGGCCTGGAGTGTTTAAGCACAGGGGCTGTCAGACTGCCTCCAAGCTGAGCTGAATGCTGCAATGGGGCTATGCAGTAAAGTGATCAAGAGACAGCCTTTACAAGTCTAGCAAGTTGTTCAGTGCCCTCAGCTCCCATTGGCTCCAGCGGGAGTTGGTGCTTATCACCTTGCAGGGTTGGACCTGCAAAGAAGAGGACACCTCAGCAATGTCTTTCTTGAAGTCAACCAGACACTAATTGAAAGCCGGCGCAATACTCAAATCATGGGTACAACATACTTGTTCACGGGATTCCTCCACTCAGGGCTCTAGGCAGTTTTCTCTGTTAGTGGAGTAAATTTTAAATGATATAAGACACCACCTTTACCCTAATATTAACCAAATAATCAAACAATTTCATTAAAAATCATTTGCTGTTTCCATAATCAAAACATGAAGCCTTGTTATTAATGGAACATGAGAATTTGACAGGTACGTTCAGCAGCGCTATATTAATCACAGCATCTCAATGTTCCTGGTAAAATAATTAGCAGTAAAATGCTTGACAATCTCAGCATTTAAGTAGCCATAATTAAATTTCCGAGGTAGTTCATCATTAAGAACAATAGGCTATGGTCACACCTATTTTAGTGCTAATGTTTCAGTATGTCTGGTGTCTGATTCAAAAACACAACAGTCATTATAAATACTTTATTGCTAAAACTTATCTTTGCAACCTGAAAGGCAAAAACTTTGTTTTTTTCAGTCGAAGCTTAGATTAGTAAAATCCAGAGAAAACTTGCAGGCAGACACAATTTTCGCAACAGATAAATCTTATAAAGGAGCCTGATCCAAACCATTTTAAGGCACTGGGGCTGCATTAGGCCCAAAGTTTGGGGTCTGGGTTTGTTTCATTTGGAATGGAGAAGGACAGCAGTGACACAGTCGAGAGCAAGTGCAATCAAATCAGTGATAGCAGCTCCTAGCAACAGCGTTCTTTATGGGCCAAACAGAAAGTATCACAATAGAAAAATTCCATTTTTTGTGACAAGGATGGTAATAGGAATGGGAACTGGTGCAAGCACTATCCATTCTCATTACACACAAAAAACAGTTTTCTGATGGTCTTTGGTTGCAGTACCAGAAGGCTATTATTTTTCTTTCCTTCTTTCCCCATGCCTATATGTTCTTTACTTATAGTAGAACTGATTGGGCTAATTGGGTTATGAACTAATGTCGAGATGAGTGATATAAGACAAGATGGGCCCCCGTTACAAAGTTTGGATCCACCCTTCTCCAAACCTGGGAGTATTTGTATCCTGCACTTTGGCTTGGGCCTCTCTCTAAATGTAAGCAGAACTGTGCAAAACTAGGTGGCTCCATTTTTGTGGATTCATGCAACATTGTCTTTGGTCCTGCTCTGTGCACATTTGCATCCCTGAGTTTCACTTTGAGTTTCAGACTGGAATAAACCTAGAACTTTAAAGTAAAACTCAGTGAAAAGGGCCAAGTTTCGCCTAGTTCCAAATGGAAACCATGTGAAACTACAAACTGCCTGATGTCAATTCACAGATGAGGCCCAGTTTTGAACAAACCTTGGTCAAAGCTAAGCTTTGGATGAATCAGGAGCTAATTTCAAACTACACCTCTACCCCGATATAACGCTGTCCTTGGGAGCCAAAAAATCTTACCGCATTATAGGTGAAACTGCATTATATCGAACTTGCTTTGATCTGCTGGAGTGCACAGCTCTCCCCCCCCCCACCCCGAGCGCTGCTTTACCGCGTTATATCCAAATTCATGTTCTATCAGGTCGCGTTATATCAGGGTAGAGGTGTATGTGAGAATGTGAAATCAAGTTTAACGTATTTTGTGTTTTACTGCAAATGTTTTCTAAAGCTGCAGTTTTAAGTAATAATATACAGGCAGGTTTTATCTGGCCCTGGCACCAGCATACAAGGAAAGGAGAACTGTTCTCTCCATGAGGATAAACACTTCCCTCCAAAAGTTGTGGAGAAACAGGGAGGCGGCAGGCATAGTTTGGATGGTGCAGCCTGAACACCCACACTGTGTACTTGGGAGCTCAGGGAAGAAATTGGTTCCCTGAGGCACATTTCATCCTGAGTTTTCCCTTTCACATTGCAGGGCTGTGTCTAAGTGGCGCAATGTAGTCCACAGTAATAAGATCCTTGGAGTGTAAATTATAACTCTCTGGATTTAAATTATGCCAACAATGGGTTTAAACTTATTCCAGCAATGAATGGAATCTCCTTGCCTCCTTCTCAGTCGGTAAAACACAGGGCATATTAGTTGCACCAAATAAATGGAACCTGAAAGGACAAAACAATTATTAGCTGCTGAATAGTCCTATTGGCAGGAATGGCATCTGTAATGTGCTTTGTCTTCAGATTATATTCACTATTTAAAGCAGCCAACAGGCATTGATGCCATTTGTATGTAAAATATGCATTTCATACATGTGCAAACATCTTTCCATATAAGGTTGGAAAAACCTTCCAGTTATTTTAACCATATAAGGTTACCTGGACAAATCTTAAGGCTTCTGTGGGCCAAACTCTGCTCTTAGTTACACCAATGTAAATCCAGATCAACTGGATTGAAATCAATGGCATTCCTCCAGATTTATACTGGTGTGAGTACACAATTGGGGTTTATCCACTTTTGGAGCTATTACAGGTGATGTATTATTTAAATGAAGGAAGTGCTGCATACCGCTTCCAGTAACAAAATGCAAAATCCTTTGAACCTTATTATCTTGACAGTTGCATGCAGACAACTCCACGGAGAATGACAACTCTACATTTAGTGTGCGTAGTGTTGTCAGGTTTAAAAGTGCTAGATCTCTACCCAGGTGGTAAATTGCACAGGGCACTGTTGGCTTTTTGGTGAGATTTGACACATTATCTATAGAATACCACCGATAGTTCGTGGAGTGTCCCCATGGTGTGAGTTCACACCACTTAAGCAAATCTGTTACACTTTTCATGTAATGGTGCTTTAAGTGATAGCACTGTTTGTGATTTCTAAGGGTAAAGTAGCTAATGGAAAAACTTTGTTCATGAGTTGAAGAACACTCAAAATGTGCCACTGTTTGGGTTATTCTGGGCCAGTTTATTACATCTTTAATTTTCTGCTAAAGTCTGATTTACTGAGGGTATTGGCTGTAGTGAAAACAGTTGATCTGGAGATTGACATTATTGACAGATTCTTAGTACCGTATCTCATGATGATAGTCACTATGCCATAAAAACACATCCCACACTTAGATTAAATGTTGGTGGAGCTGTCAGGAGGTGGAATATATTTCACTCTGTCCCATAGAGTGGGCTCAGTGTTCCTTCTGGTAAAGTCACAGTATTGTCAAGCTGGAAAGAGAAATTGGAGTAAGCCATGCAGAATTGTAGGTAAAATTCTTGTTTAATAATATAAAATCCTCTATGAGAGGTAACTGTTGAACAAAGCCACAATGAGTATTTTAATGTGCTTTTTTTGAATAAATATTTGCCCTCTGTGTTTATTACCAGGGAGCCATCATCACCTTTTCTTCCCAGGCAGGAAAAGATCAGAATAGCTTGGTTTTCATAGTAATAAGTGATAGACAGAACACTCCCTTTGAGATGGTAATTCTTCCTGTTTGTCTGTAGGGGATAGAGGTCTATTTCAAACTGGTTCCCTGGAGATACTATATTCCAATTTTCTATTTACAAAGTCCATAGCATATAAGAGTATTTGTTATGTGCCGCTTAATAGTATGATTAGAATTCAACTGTAATGTACAAATGTTAAAAGAAATGGTATTCAAGCTTCACTGTGGAGAAACTCATTTTCTTCCAGGCACAGGAGTCAAACAGTAAATCAAATGTTTCTCATTAGATTCTGTGTTAAGCATGTTGCCAGTTGAACAGTATTGCATGCACTGGTGCATCAGTGAATGGCATATTATTCCAGAAGCTTCTGTTTATTAGAATAGATGATACAGGGCTAACCTTGTTGTCAGCCTTGTTGTATATTATGTCTGCACAGACACATTTGTTTATAATCTGAAAATGTAGGTGGTTCAGAGCCTTAATTATTTTTAGGGGAATGGAGTTTAATAAGCATTAGCTGCTTCTACCACCCACTCTTTAGTGGAAGAAAAAAGAACACTTGACTATAATTAAAGACAATCTGAGTGAAGCTTCCTTCATGCTGTCACTGTCAAGTGACAGCATGATACCATTTCCATGTTCAGTTAATATTTTAAGACAATTAATGCATTTGCCTATGTATTTTCTATCAGTCATACAAACATTAGTTTTCATGTTGTTTTTCCCCCCAGATGTACATCCAGACAACAACACTTACTGTCTCCATGAGTTTAAGTGCTTCAGTATCTCTGGGCATGCTCTACATGCCCAAGGTTTATATTATCATTTTTCATCCAGAGCAGAATGTTCAAAAACGGAAGAGGAGCTTCAAGGCTGTTGTGACAGCTGCCACAATGCAAAGCAAACTGATCCAAAAAGGAAACGACAGACCAAATGGCGAGGTCAAAACTGAACTGTGTGAAAGTCTTGACACCAACAGTAAGTCATCTGTAGACTTTCCCATGGTCAAGAGTGGAAACACTTCCTAATAGATGTACGTTCGCAAGAATGCATTCACTTTTAATTGTAAACGTTATTCTTTTCTTTGCTTGCATGAATGCAGAGACGTGTCAGAATTCAAGTACCTTTGAGCAAAGGTTTGCCTACATGCAAATCTTTTTTATGGGTGACAACCGGTGATTACAAAACATAAACACATTTTGGAAAACCCACATCTTTTTAAATGATGTGGCCTAAGCTGGCACTAATTTGTTGCATCGTGTTTTACTATGGCAGTCTCATTATATACTGACACTTCTGAGGATATATTTAGGTGAGTCATTTTCAAGACTTTTGAAAAATATGGCTTCACATTCTACATTATTTTTTAAACTACAACTAGACATGGGTGAAAATATTCCTTCCTTAACCTTCTACCCTGTACTAAAATTTTTTGTATAACTTGTGCATTTCCTATGATTTATCTGTAGTCCTAAAATGGCTGCCTGTCTCCACCTGGTGAGGACTTTTGAAAAACAAAAAGTACCGCATGATCCCATCACCCAAGTCTTTGCTACAGTTTTTTATTTTGTACAAACAGTAGTGGATCCCTTTTTAAATTTACAGAAATTTAACATTAGTATCTATGTTCCAAGTGTTCACGCACATATAGATTAGACAAATCTATTTTTAGATTTACCAAAGGATAGAAGTGGGAAGAGAATATTTTCCACATCTGGAAGGTCTTTGAATCCTGGCACATCTCTTAGGAATTGTTAAATTATTATAACTTCCATACAGCAGCATGTCATAAATAGAGCTGAGTGAATGTTTTCTGTACTCTGCCTTTTTCATTGACAATTGCAGATTCAGTGACACCAAAACATTTAGTGAATTCATACTGGCTTTGCCAAAATTGTTTTGGAAATTTAAAAAATCACCAAAAAAATTCAAACTATTTCATTTTGACATTTTCTAAATGGACCCTTTTGATTTTTTAGTTTGAAATGACTTTTCATTTGAACATTTCCTTTAATTGTATTTTTAAAAAATCATAAACATAAAATGGTCAAAACTGAAATGAAACATTTAAATTTTATCAAAATATAATGTTTCATTCAGCCCCAAACAAATTTTATTTTATTCTTTGATTCACCAAGAATTTTGTTTGTCAGGTCAACCTAAAATATTGTTTTTAATTTTTTATTTTTATTTTTGGAATTGCCAGCAAATTGAAAAATCAATTTTTTGCCCAACTCTAGTAATAAAGCCTGATTAACTGTACTTCTGAACAAAAAAATAAAATAAAATGTTTTTGAATAAAGCCAATGATTGCCCTTTCCCAAATCCAGTGGTAATAGAACATAAGTTTCTATGTTGGCGTTAGAGCTTCAGTGAAATGGTGTAGTTCCTGTTATGGTTAAGGACTAATTCCTCCCATTATGCTGCAAATAGATCCTCTAGAGTTTTCTGAATTATTATTACTCCTGAGGTTTAAGGAAAATTAAATAATAATATTTTGCTTGTGCACACCGACAAACCACTGCACATAGGATTGTGAAAGTTATTAGACCAAATCCTTTCACATGGAACTCCTAATGAATTCAGTCAGAGTTCACCAGAGTGAAGTATAGTGTAAAAAGTGAGTAAGGAGCTTAGATTTGTTCCATAACTCACTTGTTGGAGGATACTGAACACTTTTAAAAATTCAATAATTCGCCTGCTAAACTTGTGGCCATTCAAAAGTGTGTAACTACCAGATGAAGCAATGAAGACACTGCCTTTGGATTTCCATAGTTTCATACTACAACCTATACCAGAGGGGGAAATGATGATGAAATTCTCTGTAGATCAGATGTCAGCATGTAAATATGAAAACCCCTACATCTCTTACAATTCTTCATAAGTCACCAAAAGAAAATACAGGGAGGGGGAAGAAAGAGAGTTTCCTTGCTGAGTTGGCAAAATAATCAACATCAGAGAAAAAGGTCAAATATAGTTCCACAATGGGGTGCAGAAGGAGATGGTAAGAAAGCCCTGTGTACCTGAGATTTATCAACTGTACCTAATGAAGAAGAAATGCTGTGTCTGGTATTCTTTTAACTATGACTATGCATAATTCATGAAAACAGCTGCCACTGGAAGCAAGTCTGCTTTCTCCAGCAGTGTGACGCACGCAGGGAAGTATCAATTTGCCGTATTCTAAACCTGATTTAACACTAGCACACCTAGATAATTTTCAAGCGCCTCAGTAGTACATTTCTTCAAGGCTTTGATCCATATACTGTTATGCTCCATAGGCAAGTATGCAAAAAAATCAACAAATTCCCATTCTAGAGAGCTAGCCTCATGTAATTGACCCGGCTTGGCTAAAAGAATGGGCTATTAGGTTTTCAAAAAACATACTATATCCGTTAGATTTTGTTAACTTTTCTCTTTTCTGCCAAAATAACTATTGTCAAAAAGTGTTTGAGGCTGTAGTGAAGGATACATTAAAATAAACGCTTTCCCCTAGATCAGCTGTAATAACCCCCAAAATACAGAAAAATGTCTCTTCGAATTGACACCTGTAACCCAGTCTCAAATTGTTATTAGGTGATCACAGTTCCAGCATGTAAGTCTTACCTAGAGAATAGCAGGCTGTCACTTGCACTCCAAAAATGGAGAAAGTTAGAGAATGTATGAAATCAGGGTATCACTAGCACTCCAGAAATGGAGAGAGAAGTTTCCCGCCCCTTACCTAACCGACGATGCTGATGCTGATGACAACAACTACAGCTTACTATCAAAGCACAAACCGGAAGAAGTGAATTTGTTTGCTGATTTTTGGGAGGCATCAAGGGTGCATTCTGGGATTTCTTATTTAAAGATATGCAGCCAAATTCTGATTCCATTTATATATATGCTAAAGTAAAGGGAGCTGTTTGCATGTGTCTGAGGACAAAATTTGCCACTTGAAGAGGCAGGAGGGCAACAGAGAGAAATCAGTAGGCACAATACATCAGGATAACTACAAAAGGATTGTATTCAACTGCTGTAAAACATGGACTTTGATGGAGCTATACCAATTTATACCAGTTCAAGATCTGACCCAGAAGACTTGATTCAGCAGCCTAGATGCAGAAGTAATTCCTGTTGAAATCAAAGGAAGATTTTTCTTTCAAAAGGTCTGCAGGATCAGGTCCAAAGCAGGGATCAGGTGTGCCTGATCAGTCACCAGCAGGGAGTAAGCAGACAGGGCAGAGTGAAAGTCAGCATGTGGTCAAGTGAACACTGGGCAATAAACAGAGGCACAAGGAGGTTAATACCAGACAATCACCAAATTTGGTTTTCTTTTCTCCTATTCTTCTCATTCTGATGATTCCTCTGACAAGATCTGTATTATTCTGGCTGTCTTTCTCAGGTGCCTTTTTGTTTTTTTCATTGTCCTGTATATTTTGATTTTTTCCATAGTCCACCTTTTTATTATTCTGTTCTCTGTTCTTCTGCTTGCTCTCTGCCTTTTTCTTTTTCTTAGTGTCCTTGTTTCTGCTGCATTTTCTCCCTCACCCCGCTCTTTTCTGGTGCTTTGCAATTCCTTACTCGCTCTCCCCATACACACTTTTTCTCTCTTTAAATTCTTCTTCTTCCTACGGTTTTTATCTACTGAGTGTTGTTTATATTTTACTCACTACAGCCATTTACTCTTTTGTTATTTTTCCCTTTTGTCTGCCCTTTATTCTGTGCTTTAGCTCTGTCCTTTATATCTTTTTTTTTTTTTTGCATTTCTTGGGTCCATTTCTTTTAATCTATGCCCCTACTCTCCTGTGCTTGACCATTCACCAATCATTGTTTTCCTGTCAAAATCTCTCTTCTAGGCATGTGCTGAAATCCTGGCCCCTTTGAAGTTAATGGCAAAACTCACAGATTTCAATGGGGCCAGGATTTCACCCATAGACTGTACCAAAGCCATTTGCTTCAGACAGCAGAGAAAAAAATGCAAGATAAATTACACACTACTCTAGAGATCTGGGAGTAGAACCCTTATCCTTCAGTTCTATAAAGGAAAAACCACTACTGCTTAAGCTAAATGAGATCTCTCTGTCTGCAGTCATGTACAAAACTCATATATTACAGCATTACTCACTGGAGTTTAGTTACTGCCTAACAGGGCTCCCCAGGTGGCTTGATTAAACAGGAGTTCTTAGTCTTCATTCAACCTCCATTCATCCAAATGCACCAGACCTTTGCAGAGAGCAAGGGATGACCTAGGGGCTTAAATGATCTCTGTTGAAGCTTCCATGCTACTCCCATTAAGGGCAGACCAAGCAGTCCTCTACTTTAGCTTCTTTTGGGCTGGGATCAAACACATTGTGCCCAACAGAGTACTCTAGATGGCTCATATGAGAATCTTCTTCTCCCACAACAGGTAATAGTGAATCTCAGGTGCCCCTCACCCCTTGTCCTCTTTCCAGGCACCAAGGGGCCAGGTATTCCAGGCCTTTCCAATGCTGATTGTTTCCATTAGCTTCTCTGTTCAGCAATCACTTGCGTCAGCTGATTCACTATCACGTTCTCTGTTAGTTCCCCCTCCCCTCCTTCTTTTGTGTTTCATTCCTTTGTTTCTTTCTTCATGTTTGTTTACTTTTCTGCCCTCTCTGTTTGATGTTTGTGATTTCACTCTCTGTTTTTGTTCTGTGTTGGTTTATGACCCCAAACTCCATCTTCTGTTTTGTTTGTGTTTACAACAAGCTCTTTCTGGCCTTCTAGAAAGTTGCAGTGAACTGAAGCAAACTGTGGGAATCAATATGGGCCCATCAGTAACTTGGTATTCAGTAGAGAACTATTGAGTCAAAGCCACTAATATATTCCCAGTCTATTTTCACAAAGCTAATCCTGAATATTCAATGCCAATTTCCATCATTGGCATTGCCTGGTAAAACTGGAAGAAAAAATACTCAAACAAGTATGGCGGGGTTCTATGCCCTTATTTTATCCTAATGATGCCACTGATAAATATCTAGTAAGAAGAAGAAATGTGTAGGTTTTGTAATACAGTATGAAAATAAAATAAAT